ATTCCACGCAGGAGTGGCTCTTCTGGCTGCACGTCCCATCGCCGGGGCTTCCCCTCCGCCGGTCCCAAAAAGGCTCCGATCCTCCTCAAAATTGCGGCTTGGCAGGCGCCCAGAGCATGAGGCCGAGAGCTTAATCGGGAACAGCTTTAAGGGAAATAAAACAAAAAAAAGAAGAAAAAACACCCCCGCAAAGCACATTTGACAGCTAATTAGAAAAATTTGCAAAAAATTGGTGCAAGTTGGATAATCTCCACTCCCAGCAGCACGAGTCCCGCCGTCCCATTTCCAGGTCGAGCCACTGGGAATATCAATCTGGCAACGGTAACGCGACGAATGAAAACCGAACCGAAGCCATTTGGAAGCCCGTGTTATAAATCGATTTAGTCCTTAGACAAATTTCCACCTCCCCAGCCCCGGCTGTCCCTGGCGCAGCCGGATAAACCGGGGCAAAAGCCGGATAAACTTGGCAAAAGATGGGCCACGTCCCGCCACCTACTTTCCCTCCATCACGTGCTGTTGCCAGGGCAGAAGAAAAAAGAGACATTTTTGGTGAAAACCTGTTAATTCCCATAGTTTTTTTTCCCCCTCCCCTGCATGGGAAAATGCTTAAATAAGTAAGGAAATAATAAATAATAATAAAATCACAACCTCCCAGCCGCCAGGGCGGGTAGATCAGCTGGGATTTGGGATCAGTCGGAATAACTCAACCCGGCACGCTGGCACCTGGTGCCAAAAATTACCCCGAAGCACCAACACGCGATACTGGGCTGAAACGGGGCAAGTGTTCTGCAATTTGGAGGCGCGCGAGCTCCCATTTCAGCACCGCTGGCACCCGCTAGCATTCACACCTCCGTTTTATTTCTGCAGCTCCAAGTGCCCCAATATATACAGATTTGCTTCTCTATACAGGTAATAATATACATCATTTATATATATATATATTTATATTTTATATATATATATATTCACACACACACACAGCCCGCCCACGCCTTCTTCCGAAGAGCCCAGCAAAATCCCGGCGCCTCCAAAGCCCGCAGGGAGGTCGCCGTTCCCGAATGTTAAAAAGACCCCCTTTTCTCCCCAAAAACGAGCTGGATTTTGGGGGAGAGGGGGGAAAAAAAGAAAAAATTTAAGTCTTTTTTTTTTTCCCTCCCTTCTTTTTTTAAAAAAAAAGGG